GCCCTGTAAGGCACAAGTTATTATCCCATTTTACAGATAAAGGAACCATAGTTCCAAGGACTGAAGGTAATCAAGTCTATGTTGTGATTGGTGAATTTTAAAGGTTTGTTGCTGATTTTTTTAAAAGCTTTCATATTTAAAGAAATTATCATACTTAAGTTTGTGAAACTACACAGAGCTAAGAATCTGTGTGTGAGCAGCCTTAGGGATAACTTGAGATCATTTAAAAAATAAGCCAGGGAAATGAAGCAGGGTCCCTCTGGACAGTTCCAAGTTGGAAAGTTTTTTTACCGCAAGTCTCGTCCCCGGGAGGGTGGCTCCCGTGCTTCCTGAGCCACCTCTCCCAGGTGTTCACTGCAGCTGAGAAGCAGCAGTTTGGGCATCGTTAAGAAAAATGCCTGAGACATGGAGCAGATTGGTTCCAATTTCCCATACATCTGTGGGAATGATCTGGAACCCAAGGCCTGTGGGACACAGCCCGGCCATTTCCAAGATGCCTTTGTCTTGGCTTTTGATTCCATCTCATGACTCTTTCTGCACTTTTTGAGGAAATTATTCTGTCAGCACTGTTGGTTAGGGGCCTTATCTGTTTTGTCACCCCCTGTGTCTCTAGCACAGAACCTGCCACATAGGGCACTCAATAAATAGTGAGAGAATGAAAGAATGAATGAGTGAACAAATGAAGGAATCCATGCACAGATGCAGGCTTCCACTCTGCCTTCCATTCGAGCAGGATGCTGACACAAGTCCCTTTCCTTCTCATCTACCCTTGCCTGAGGTCATGTCTGTTCAGGTGGAAGCTGGAGACCTGAGGGTGGGCCAGGGAACCCTGAAGCACACATAGCCAGTCCACCCTGGGTGCTGGCGTCCTCACAGCCCTCTCCTCACACCTCTGCCCCATGAACCACGTCCATCCTGTGAGTTTCCTCTGAGCCATGAATTTTAAAATAAGCGAAATAAAAGCAGTAATATCAAATGAGGGTAATCATGACTGAGCCTTCCCTGGAGCTTCCAGAAAAGCTTTCCTCATTAACTCTAAGTCAAAACATAAGCTAAAACACACATCACTTCTTAAGAAAAAGCTTTCTGCTCTCTAAATCCGGCTGTGGTTCTGCCTGTCATTCTCTAAGGATTCACTGACACCTCACAGCAGCCCCAGGGCAGTGCCCTGATTCCACTCCAAGCCTTGAGCAAGCTGAGGCATTCCATGTTAGAGGTCAGTAAAGTGCTTCTGAATGCCATAGAGTTTTGTTATAACCAAAGATTGGAGAGCTCATCCTATGATGTGCTTGAACTTTTAGGAACTCTTGGTTGCAAATAATAGAAACCCAAGTCAAAAAGGCTTAAATGAAAGAGGGAATTTATTGGCTCGTGTGATGGAAAAGTCCAAGGGTTGACCTCGGGCTTGAGTAGATCCAGGTGTTCAAACTATATCGATAGGATCCTGTCCCTTCCCACTGTCAGATCTGCTTTTGTTCAGAAAACCACGAATATCTCCCAAGTGAGGACAAAGATGGCCCCAAGAGCCCCAGGCTTCTGCCATGGAGCCAGCCCAGCAGAAAGGGAGCACCTCCTTCCAAAAGCAACAGGAAAAGCCTCCACCTCCACCCTGATTGGCAGGTCTGGTCACGTGACCACCTCCATGGCTGCCAGGGTGCGAGGCCAGCCTTTTGAGAACAGCATAGACTCAGCTGAGGGGGAGGGATGAGTGTCCCAAAAGAGAAAGAAATGTCCTTGAGCCAGAAGAATGAGGATTTCAGTAACTATCCCTCACCAATACCACTGTGGACCCTCTCATCTGCTGAGCCGAGCCCTGCAGCAGGTCCTTCCTGGTGGTCAGCTACTTAGAAAGCAGGGCAGTGTGCACAAGACACAGCCTGGAGAATATTTATCTTCTAGAATCATTTATTTTGTACTTTTAAAGCTATCAAATAAATCATAAGCCCAGAGGTTATGATTTCCAAGGACAAAGTCTTCTGTATTTTTTTCTTTTCTGCTGTATTACTCTAAATTCTGAAAATAGCTTTATGGGTTTTTCTTTTTATAAAAATGACAGATACTTATTGTAATACACTAAAATGCTATAAGCAAATACACTAAAGAGAGCCAGTCACTCTTCACATTGGGTGCATGTGCATGGTTGAGCTCCCATTTTTGAATCCCTGCTCAGGCACTTGCTCCTTTGGGCAAGACCATCACACTACATCTCGATTTACTCATCCATAGAAATGGGACTCATCCTTGGAGAGTTGTTATAAGAAACTATTGAGCCTTGACACTGTGCCAGGCTTCTTATTGCTGTGTTATATCATTTAATCCTCAAAGCAGCCTTATATTGTCATCATCCCCATCTTGAAGATGAAGAAATTGAGGCTCAGAGCAATTAAATAATTTGCTTATAGCCACACACGTAGTAAATGCCAGGACATGGGCAGTCCCAACCTGCCTTAGCACCCAGCCCCTCACCTACTGCACTGTACTCCAGGACGATTAAATGCAGTGATTCAGGGAAAGCTTTTGGCACAGTGCTGAAGACAGAGCAAGCACTCAAATAATTGTGTTCATTTTTATTAATAGCAATGATACTGATGATTTAGTGCAGTTTTATATAAAAGGGATGATACATCTGGTACATTCTGTGTTATAGCTGCCTTTCTCCCTCAATGAAGAAGACAGCCTCTGAAGGCCATCTTGTCTCCCAAACCAAAGTGGAGGAGATGATGCTTGCCTTCTGCCTTTTGTCTTCCTTCCCACGCTGCACTGGGAGCCAGAAGTAGGCTTTGCCATGGAGATATTGGCCCCTCCATCGGGGGTTTCTTTTCAATGTGAGGCCACTTTGAGGACTTCAGAATCTCACACCATGGGCGAGCAGTGAAATTGGCACAAGCTTTCTGAGAGACTGACATCTTTGAACTCAGCAATTCTGCTTTTAGAATCCACAGTTGTGGACATGTGAAATCATTTAGCTGCCAACATATGCATCACAGACTTGTTTTTAGTAATAAAAGAAATGGGATAAATTCAATGTTACATAAAGCCCGCTGTGTTCATACTATGGAGAACTCTGGAGCTACTAAAAATGCTGTGGGGGAAGACCATTCAACAACATTAAAGTCATTCAGGAATATTAAGTGAAAAAATATGTTTAAAACAGTGTCCATTCACCATGTCCCAGATTTTATTGAGTGTCAACCATGTGCACTGCAGTGGTCTAGGAACTTGGGATGCAGGAGTGGGAAAAAACCTGCCTTCCATGAACTTATGTTCTATTGGAGAGAAGGAAATAGATAATAAAATATTTAACAAATAATTGTTAAGTAACATATTAGTGTATTATCTTATAAATAATGAGTTATATATAATTAAACAACAGGTACAGAAAATCACTCTATAGAAATATAGGGAGAGAACGTAAGAGCAAGAGGATAGAATTGGTGGTAGTATTTTAGCTATTTAGCTAAAATAGCTAGTAGCTATTTAGCTATTTAGTATTTTAGCTATTTAGCTAAAATAGCTAGTAGCTATTTAGCTATTTAGTATTTTAGCTAGGGCAATCAAGGAAGGCCTCCCAAAGAGGGTGACATTAGTGCAGAGAGCTCCAAGTTTGTAAGCCAGGCAGGCCACTAGCAGGCTTGACTTTGGGGTACATGGATAGTATCTTGTGGGTAGGCATGTGGGAGTTCCCCCAGTGCCAAACAAGGAGGGTTTCACTGCAAGCTGGTAATCCCCTTGTTGAAGTCCGAGTGCCCCTCAAGTAGATTGTTCAATTTTATTAGAGAATTGCTTTCTATTTTTGTCCTAGGACAAAGCATTGTTGGACCAATGTCCATTTGTTTGGGAATAGGGATGGCGCCAAGAGCCCTCATTGTTGTCTACACAACCATTAAATTAGCTTTCTGAATACTGTCTCGTAATCCAGTCCTGCTCTCTGCACCAACTAACTTCGAATTGGACCTCCTATCTCTTCTGTCTGTTTTGCGGGACAACATTCTGTTATCTCCATGCTATCACTCACTTTCAGTTTTCCAGAAATCTGTCAAAATCTCTGATTCTGTTCTCCCCCTATTCTTCATTTTTATAGATTTCTTTCCCTTTGGATATCATCTCACATTTAACTGGCATCTGGGGAGGAAGAGCAGCTAAATGTGTGCTTGTTCCTCCATTGAATTAGAAGCATTTATATTCATTTTGCTTTTCCGAATTTTCTAAAATGAGTATGCATTATTACATTCATAATAACAAAAATAACAACAAAAGCTATTCTTAAAATGAAAAGGATTTAGAAATATGCTCTTATCGGGCAGAAAAGAGAAGAATCATGTCAGTGTTTTGTAGTGACCATTACAGCCGTGACTAGGAGACTGCTTCCCCACAGTGCTTCAGGAGGAATGAATAAGAGGCTGGAGAACTTGCTGTAGGACCCAGTGTCTCACTTGTGCTTTTTATGCTCCCAAGCTGAATTAGAAATATTGTTAATGCAGTATGAGGGTCAAATATAAAGCCTGCTCTTATACAGATGTATCTGTTAGTGGCTTCAAATGGCAAGCATTTATCAGCTTGCTCTTTGGATGGCCTCAGTTGATGGTTCTTCTGCTGGTCTTACCTAGGGTCGCTCATGCATCTCCAGTCAAGTGGCAGTCGATAGCCTTCCTCGCTTTCTGGGGTTGGCTGGATATTGGCTGGGGCAAGGAGAGGTGATTTGGCCAAGTGTCTGTCGTCATCCCAAAGGCTAGTTTGGGCTTGTTCACATGGTGATGGGTTGCAGGACTTCCAGGAGCAGCAAGAGAGGAAGGTGCAAGGTCCAAGACTCCACAGTATCACTTCCACCACTCTCTATGGTCAGAGCAGTTGGCCAGCCCAGATTCAAGGAATAGAGAAATAAACTCCACATCTTGATAGAAGGAGCTGCAAAGTATTGTGGCAACCTTTGCAATCCACAATTTAATAATTCTATTTTTTTAATTCAAGTTTTCTGTTTTCTAATTCTGTGTTTTCTTCAGGCTTCTGAGAACCCAGTCTCTGGAATGGTTCTACAATAATGTGAAGAGCCGTTTCAAACGCTTTGGCAGTGCCAAGGTCCTGAAGAACCTGTACAGGAAACACCGGCTGGAGAGTGGAGCGTGCTTCGACACTCTAGGTACACTGGGTGCCTGCCATTCTAGGAGTCTGTGGTGGGCTGATGGGATAGAAGAAGGCCTAGCTTAGGGGCCCTGTATGCTGGGGCACACTTAACTGGGACAGAGAAAGTTACTTAAATATCTGGCTCTAGTGAGGAGCAGAAATAGAAGGACATATACCAAAGATTCTAAGTTTTGAGTCTTTTGGTTCCAGCATCCTCACTGGGCTGGATTTGTTAGAAGCTGGGAGGACCAAAGTATTTCTGCAAATTGTGGACATTTTAATTCTGGATCCTTAGAATTTAAAGATCCTTGATCATCTTCCCCTCGTGATTAAAACATTGGAAAGTCATCTTTGTTTGGTTGTGTAGACTAGGTCTGCACTCGGAGGATGTGCCCTCCACTACCCTTCCTTCCTAGTCCAAAATTCTATTCATACCAGGCCCAGAATTTGATGTAATTGGAGAGTTAGGAAAGTATCAGTTTCATCCCAGGAAGCTTGAAGGATGAATCCTACCTATGCTGTTTTTAATCAGTTAAGACAACCAATGTAATTAGAATGAGAAATTATATTCTTTAGTTCTATTAGACCAGCCAATAGAAAGAAATGATTGTCAGAATATGAGCAGCACGTCCTCCAAAAAGGCTGGTTTTTTTTTTTTTTTTTTTTGTCTAGAGGCAGATTTTTTCATCACTTTGCTGACACAGGTAAATGCTTTTTATCCACAAGAAAGAGGGAAGAAAAAAATCTCATCCATCTCATTTGGAGCTTTTTCACCCTCATTATCTTACATTGTTGTATTCTCAATAAAGTCTGTGGTTGTGTCTTATCTAAAAATGTGCCAGCCACTGAGTCAAGGGGGAAAATAGGATGGAAGCATTCAACACAGAGAATCATTAGGGCCTTTTGTGGAGCTGTTAGAATCTCTGTCTTTCAAACTACTCAGGAAGCCCGTAGCTAAGAGAGCAGTGCCGAAGGTTTCCACATATTATTTTTATCTTCTCTTTACGGATTTTTCTAAAAATTTTTCTCTTGGAATAGAGGCAAAAAAGAAAGCTTAAAAGTAATGGTGTTAACAGTAGTTTTTCAACCCAAAGAGATATTTTAAGAAAGTTCCAGCATAGAATTGGCTCACTCATTTGCATCCCATCTTTTCTTTCCTCTCTTTACATCCTCAGGTCTGCTTCATGTACCCCTGTACATGTCACCAAGTTCAGATCTCATAGGGGTTCTCTACTGATTTATGCAAATTGAGGAAAAAAGCAAACGCATGTGGAGAATCCTATAGAACAGAGCACAATTCCTGTTTCTTTCCCTTTCTTCCTAAGGCCCCACAGGGGGAGTAGGTGGATGCAAATCCCAAGTGGGCAAGCTCAGGGCTTTGAAATTTTCAAGTGCCATTTTCAAAGGAGAATCATTTGCTGGGAACAACTATCTGCCATGATTGAAGCAGATTTGGGTTCTGGGCCCTCTGTGATTCAGCACTTCCTTCATCGGGGCCTCAGTCACAGCACTTATCGCACTGCATTCAGGTGATGGTTTACAAAGCCGCTCTCCTGCTGGACCATGTGGAGGCGAGAGCTTCCTTATCTCTGTGTTCCCAAAGCGTGTCTCAATGCCTGGAACATCTTATGTCCTCAGTACTATGCTAGTTCAATCTAAAAAGCATTTTGTGGGTACCAAGTCACTTCATAAAAGTATTAGAATCAGTTGCTTTAATATAATTAGTATCTCCATGTAAACTAAGATTTCCTTTTAATAAACATGAGGACAAGCAGACAGGAGACAATTTTTGAGATGGCACTCAAACCTCTCAAGTCATGATCATAAAACCATGAGATTTAGTTTACACACCACTGAAAATTTAGTTACACCTCAAGTATGGAGAAATCTCCAGTGCTTAGGTGGTCTCCTGGCTATGGTGGATGACTGGGGTGTTATTAGCATGAGCTTTTCCTACCACCCAACACCCTTGTGTGGTTGTCATCTGCCCTCCTTAATCCTGACTACACATTAGAATCATGTAGGGAGCTTTGAAAAACTCCCAGTGCCCAGGATCACCTTCCACCTCCAGTCAATTACTCCCAAACCTGTGAAGGTGGGCCTGGTACAGGTAGTTTTTAAAGCTCCCTGGGTTATTTTAAGGGAGCGCCAAGCCTGAGAATCTCAGCTAGAACTTCACTATGATTTGTTCATCAGAGTTCTGAATAGGATGGTCCCATCAACTCCATCTAAGGATACTTATTTGCAGAATTTTGATTGTCAGAACATAACATGCAACATCTCCAGTGTGCACAGCATGTGCTATGCTCCAGGACTCTCAAAACTGCTTTTACCTATGAAACATCCCACTGCATGGACCAGTGTAGTTTGCCGTGAAAACACTCAGTCCATTGAAAATTCATTTGTTCCGCAGAATCTTATGGGTCACCCATCGCATGCACACCTTGCACTGCCATCAGTCTTTCCCTGCCCTCCCAAGCTGGCCTTACTCCTCCTGCAGCCCCATCAGGTGACCAGGTTAGGCCTAAACAGAGACCCATTCGTTTTGTCAGATAAATTTATCGAAGACTTATTCATTCCTTCAGTAAACATTTATTGCACACCTACTATGTGTCCACCTGGTTTAAGAGTTGGGGGTGACAAGACAGGCAAGACCCTGCCATCTCAGAGCCAACATGCCAGTCAAGAAGTCAGATAAATAAGTAAATAAATTTATAAAAAATATAATGTCCAATGGTAATGAGTGCTCACATGGTTTACCTGATAGATCCAGCATGGCATTTTTAGCAATTATCCTACAAAGAAGCACTACATGAAAAGATAAACGTAGCCATTATTAATATACTTAATCTCTAGACAACTGGATGAATAATATATGCTTTTATTTAGTATTGGATAAATAAAATGGGAAAAATAAACCCTGCTTTTGTTTATTAACACTCTATATCTATTTTTGACATGATTCTTCGAAAAGTCTATGATACCTTTCCTCTGGGATTTGACTGACAAACTTGGTCTTTTGAAAATGCTGAGCCACATGAAGTCAGAGGTTCCTCCAGCTCACGAAAGCTATGATGCTGTCGTCTGGCTGCTGCGTCACTGCTTTCCAGAACAGTTCAATTGCTCTGCCCTTGGAAAAATCACATCATCCTAAATAATGATGAAGCTCCCACCAGTAAATTTAAAGGGAAACAGGGAGAGATGTTATACTAGAGGATTTAAAATCATGCAAAACCAGAGCTCATCCTCTGACTGAGACAGCTCAGTCTCCCCAGGTGTTTGCAGATCCTCTCCTCTCTCCTCAGACTCCTCACTGCCCTCCCTGTTCTCTCAGCAGACAGCCTCATGGCCTCCTTCTCAGGGCAGGCAGTGTAGACCAGGCAGGGACTTCCTCGTCAGCCCCCTTCCAGTGCTGTCTGTGGCCATCCACCCCCTTCAGCTGCTGAAGTGGAGCCATCGTCCCCCCTGCTCTGTTGCCTGCTCCTCCCCTTGTTCTCTGCACTTGATCCCCATCACCTTCCAGGAAGGTCTCAAGGTCACTCAGCCCTTCCTCCTTGCTTGTTCAACCTCTCTCTGAGCTGGTTCCTTCCTATTGATTTGTAAACATGCCCAAGTCTCTCCTGTTTCCTAAACCCTTCTGGGACTGCACATTTTCCTCCACTTCCTGCCCTTCCGTGCTCTCTCCCATCACAGGTACGCTCCAGAGAGCAGCCTGCACTCGTGGCTTCCATTTCCTGCCCTTCCTCACTCTACGCCCACCCTCTCCTCTGTCCAAGCTGTTCTCCACACAGCAGCCAGAGGGCGCTTTTAGAAGCACAGGTCTGGCTGGGTCACTGGTTTCACGTGGCTGTTGGGATAAAGATCCAACATTGATGTGGCCGCCCTGACCTGAGCAGTCTCTGTCTTCAGATCATCTCACCCCGTGCTTCCTCTCCTCTCTGCAGCCCAGCCGCACTGCCTCTTGTTAGGTCCCCAGATGCACCCTACTGCCCCTACTGCCTGTCCCTCTGCAAGCTGTTTGCTCTGCCCTGGACTGTCTCCCACCTCCCCACCCCACCTTGGCTGGTTACTCACTGTCTGGGTCAGTCTTCCCTGCTGAACACTTTCACTATTCTGTGAACCACCCAATCAGAGCACTTAACATAGCTATAATTTTACATTTGTTTATATAAACTTTTGATTAATGAATTCTCTCCCACTAGACTCTCAAGTTTGTCAGGACAGCAAGGGTTTCTGGCTTTGCTCACTGATGTACCCTCACACCCAGCCCAGGGCCAGGCACCTGATAGGTGCTCATGGATATTGCACTTAGATGTATAGCCTGGGAACTGAGGAGGTGACTTAGCCTAAAGCCTTATTTTATAAAAGTGAGGAGACTGAGACCCAGAGAGAGAAAGTAACTTCCTCAAAGTCACAGACCTAGTGTAAGTGGACTTCAGGCCTTTGGAAAGTCTGGTAAAAAAACACAAACACAGGGGCTGGCCCTGTGGCATAGTGGTTAAGTTTGGTGCATTCCGCTTCGGCGGCCCAGGTTCACAGGTTCAGATCCCAGGTGCGGACCTGCACCACTCATCAGCCATGTTATGGCAGCAACCCACATATAAAATAGAGGAAGATTGGGCCGGCCCCGTGGCTGAGCGGTTAAGTGCGTGCGCTCCGCTGCTGGCGGCCCGGGTTCGGATCCCGGGTGTGCACGTGCATCGACGCACCGCTTCTCCAGCCATGCTGAGGCCGTGTCCCACATACAGCAACTAGAAGGATGTGCAGCTATGACATACAACTATCTACTGGGGCTTTGGGGGGGGGGAATAAAAAAAAAATAGAGGAAGATTGGCACAGATGTTAGCAAAGGGCTAATCTTCCTCAGGAAAAATGAAAAACATGAAAACACAGAGAATGGTATATGGTCAGAGTGAATTACCGTGACAGGCTGCAAACCAACAACTTGTTTCATAAAAGTAGCAGCCTACTAAACCTGCTACAAATACCTACAGCAATTACCTTTAGAGTTCCCACGTGGGACCCCCCATGACAACCCATCCAAGGAAGCGCTGGGTATATTATATGTATCAAAGGCCTATTTTGACTTGTCATCAATGGCATTTGCCCCCTTTTGAGCTAAGGTATGTTGAACCATGTTTATTTTCTTGGTTCTCTTAAATAATGTTTTCCACCAGCATCAAATTCAATAAATTTTTTTTGAGCCACCTGCTGTGTAGGTGCTATCTTAGGTACTGGAGATACAATACAGTGATTAAAAAAAATCCGTCTTCCCCATCTTTAGAGATCTCATTTGGTGAAATAATATGTGAACACATATAATAAAAATCTCCAATTTAAAAACGGCTTAACCAACTGCTCTTCTCAGCCTGGAACGAAGACAAGCGTTGTGTGTTCAACTGAGAGAAGACCACAGAAGAGGCAGTGGACCTTAAAAGATCAAAAGCCATGGCTTACCTTGTCTCAGTCTGGGTTTGCTTCACATGGACTCTTCTGCAGAAGAGAATGATGGCAGTTAAATCCTTAGCTAAAGGCAACTGTTTGGGTCAATGCCATGGACTGCCTCTAAAGACCAGAATGCACTGTCTCATCACCCATCATGAGGAGAGTGCTCTTGTTATTCTTTTTTTTTCTAGTAAGGAAACTGAGTGTCAGAGAGATTAAGTAACTTGCTCAAGGTCACACAACTAGTAATTTGCAGGTCCAGGAACTGACCTCATATGTCTCTGACTTCAATCTATTGTTCTGTCTTTGACTCCACATTGCCTCCGCAGAAGGTACTGGAAAGTTGGAGATGGCAGCAATGCTACACTGGGAATCAGTGTGAGAAGAAAAATGTGATTGGTCAAAAATTGTAGCATTACTATGGAACCCAGTGATTCCCTAAACCTATTTGCAAGGCTAACTTAATCAAAGTGGGCAATGGTGATCTGCCAGTTCAGTGACACAGTGCGTGAATGCTCACTGAAGACATTTGATAATCATATTCTCCCCCAACTCTCCTCTAGGAGGAAGCTTTTTTGAGGTGAACCTGGAGAATGAAGGAAGTATTTCAGGCAGTGATTCGACATTTTATAGACAGTCAGAAGGTAAGGTTGCTTAAGAGTTTACAACTAACGGGAAGTTGGAGGAATAGAAACACCTTCAGATCCTGTCAGGTTCTCCCAATTGCATAGTAACCGCTGGATGCAACTATCTATTGCTGTGTGGGAGTCTGCATGGGTCTTCTTGTTATTGCCATTTGTGTGAATCCATCATCAAAATAGGTGAATATATCCAAGGCATGGCCTAGAGAAGTACATTCGCTACCTAATCGCTAGGTACTTTATGATCAGCTAGTGGGTGTTCTAGTTGGAATATGACAATCAATACACTTGTGCAACTCATCTTAAAATATTCTTATAAAGCATGTATCACTTACTGATTAACTTCTACTTTTTTATAACAATATAATAGTCCCCTGAGAGCAGAGGTTAAAAGCAAAGCAAATTTCTAGTTTCAAATAAAACTTTCTCCAACATCTCAGCGCCTTCTCCAAAGTACTGGGCGTTGAGAACGGGTTCCTCCTGAGTGGCCCTGCTCCTGTGGCCCGCACAGCTCTCCCACACTCTCTCTGTTCTCTCTTTGGGGGCCTTCTCATGAAGGTCTTGTCCTCTGTCATCCTTGCTACTTGAAACTTCTCCCTGGGCTACCACACACAGTAGCCTTGGTGTGCCTCCATCTGCTGCTGAGCCTGAAATGCCCAGCCCTGGTTTCAGCCCAGAGTTCTAGACTCAGATTTCTGATGCTTGGCCATCCGGACCTGTAGATCCTCCAGGGGTCTTTAACTCAGCGCGTCCTCATCAAGCTGCTCAGCCACGTGGGTCCACCAGCAAGAGTTATCTTTCCCTCAGTCCACCTCCCTGTGTCCACCCCGTCAAACATGTTCCTGTCCCCTCTGTTTCCACTCCTTTCCTTTTCTTTCCATTCTGAGGCCCACAGCCTGAGCACCTTCCTGCCACAGCTCTCCTACATTAATATCAGTTTCAGTGACCAGCGGTATCCGTCAGTGTTTTCCAGAGGAACAGAACACACACAGAGACACACAAAGAGGTTTATTTCATTTTAAGTATTTGGCTTACACAATTGTGGAGCCTTTTTTTTTTTAATGGAATAACAAAATAAAAGTTTATTTTATTAGAATTAGGAATGTTCTTTCCCTCTGGGCAACCTGAACAGTTCAGCTAAAATCAAAATCTGAGAACAATTATTTCCAAAGCACAGGGTGCTCTCTGCACAAAATTACAGGGTTAGGAGCATTTAATGGATTTATTGATTGTCTCACCAGCCCATCCCTCCCATCCCTCAACTGCTCTGTACTGGGATTTGTAGCCCAAAATCTATAGAGTAGGTCAGCAGGCTGGAAACGCAGGCAGGAGTTGATGCTTCAGTCTTGATGCAGAATTTCTTCTCTGGGAAACCTCAGTTTTTGCTCTTCAGGCCTTTCAACTGATTGGGTGAGGCCCACCCACGTTTTTGAGGGTGCTCTCCTTTACTTAAAGTCAACTATTGTAGATGTTAGTCATATCTAAAAAATGCCTTCATAGCAACATCTAGATTAGTGTTTGATGAAATGAGTGGGTACTGTAACCTAGCCAAGTTGACACATAAAACTAACCATCCCACCATCTAACTGGTCCTCTGAACTTGGATCATTCTGCCTCTGCCTTCTTAGCCTTCCTCCATGCCCTCGCCAGTTTTTCTCTCTGAAACACCAACCTAAGACTTCACTTTCAGCCAAAATATCTTCAGTATTCCCCTTCACCCTCATCCAAAAATCATAAACATAGCATTCAAAGTCTTTCTGGTTGTGGCTCCAGGCTCTTCCTTTCCAGGGATCTGTGGAACCTGATAACTATCCCTATCACAGGATCCACTGCACGCCTCTGAGCAGTTACTTATGCACCGGATCACTCAATAGCTTGGAAGACACATGAGAGTGTGGAATCACCTTGTCCTTCAGGGCATCACTGAGCCCTCACAGAGCCTAGCACTCAGGAGGTACTTGGTAAACTTTGATTCAGTGAGAATTTGTGGGGCACCTCCTCCGTGAAAACTACATTGATTGAGATCTTGAAGAAGAGAGATAAGAGATACAATGTCTATCTCCAGGGAGCACTTAGTGTGATGACAACTTAAATTTTATAGACTCTACTTAGAGAAACATTGGACAAACTGTGTGTTCAGTCAGCCACCCTGGGGTGTACAGAGCCTTGAGCTGGTTTCGTCTCCACCGTGACTGTTACAGCCGGCCTGCAATGTACTCATCAGCTGGCTACATCGCCTTGACCTTAACTGGGTTGGTTTTGGATATTTTATTATGTTTGCCAGATGCCACTTTCTGTACACATTTGTGTCTTTAGGAGCCTAAGAAGCTTGAATTAAGTTTTTTATTTGAAGGATTGATTAATTAATTGATGTATTTACACCTTCTCTCGTTTTACAAAGATTTTGAGGCAGCTTTCAGGAGATTTGCATGTGTTAAATAGTGCATGACTAACAGATTATAAATGGAAACAAGAAGTTGAAATTGGGGAAAAGGAGACCCAGGTACGCAGTCCTTGCAGACCTACGTTCCTGTTTCTGACGTGAGTTGGGCTCCTAGGACAAACTGAGAGAGGATAATAGAAATTCTCACTTTCAAGTAAGAAGCAAAAATCTACTACCTCAGGGCAGCTGAGCTCTTCCAAGCACTTAGCTCCAAAAAGAATTTTGTCACCTGCTGACGTCCTTTGATTTGAGGACAATTCCTCTTGTTTGTTGCCATATGCAAACAATATGTTCATTAAAAATATGATAGCATTATTTTTGAAAATCATGTTAGATTGTACTTATCTCATGTTTGTGGTTAAAGTCAAGGGCTTCGGAGACAGAGAGTCCTGAATTCAAATCTCAGCTCTCTTACTGTCTCACTCTGTAACCTTGGGCAAGTTATTTGACCTCTCTGTGCTTCAGTTCTCTCATCTGTAAAATGGTCCCTACTCAGTAGATTGTTGTCAGGATTAACTGTGATCATGTTTGTGATGCTCGGCCCAAGCACGGGGTGGAACTCAGCAAGGCTGGCCAGTGTTATCAATTATTAGACTGGTTTAAAGTCTAAAAAATTCTTCCATGGATTTTGTATTTGCATTAAACTACACGTACAGCCCAGTGCCCTTAGAACATTTAATAACTTTCATCCCTATAATGACAAAGATACATTATATGCACAAAATAAACATAATCTTTATCTGAGAAAGTAGATGAAGAATCATTATTTCTTTAAGTCCTTTTGTTCAGTTGTCATTAAGTCACTCTGTGTGCCTGGAGCTACACTGAGTGTTGGGGCACAGCAGTGACTGTGATGCAGTCTTGCTCTCTGAGAATGACCTGTGGGAGGGGGCGGAGAGGTGGAGCCTTTCCAGCTCTGATGGAACTAGCCCAGAGCCTCAGATGGACTCCAGCCAAGGGTGCAGGAGGGATCTGAGGTTTTTCAGAGAAGGAACCCTTGGGCCAAGCCTTGGGGTCCCCAGGAACCAGCCCAGTTACAGAGCAGGGGACCAGAGGGAGGAGAAACAAGACAATGGAGTCATGATGGTAGCTCTCAAAGAATCTCAAATAATTTATTGTGTCTGGGGCGGGGATGAGAATGACGAGTGGGCGGCAGTGAGGCAGGGGTGAAGGGCAAGGGGCTTTTGTGCCAGGATGAGCAGTATGGGACTTATCCTAGAGCTCTGAAAGATTTAAGCAGAAGAGCTTAAAGTGGAACAACCGTTTTACTTGTCATTTCCTTTCAGAAAGTGGTCTGTGTTCTATTTCCTGTCTAGGACATAGCATGATGGACACATTGGCTGTCGCCCTACGGGTGGCTGAAGAGGCCATCGAGGAGGCAATTTCCAAAGCAGAAGCCTATGGGGACAGCCTGGTATGGCCCCCCTTCTCCTTTCTGGGGGAAGATGTGAGTGGGGTCCTGGCTGCCAGGAGAAAATGGAGGTTGTTGGGAAACCAACGTCCACTAGCCATCCTTGATTAGAGCGGTGTCCAACCTCCCCCTGCATTTGTGGTCAGGACTCCCAAGAAAGTGATTGCCAAGTCCCCCAAACCCACCCATATCACGTGGCCATTCTCTTCCCTCCCTCCGCAGGACAAGCAGAATGAGGCCAGTTACCTGCGGGACCACAAGGAAGAGCTGACTGAGGAACTGGCCTCAACTATCCTGCAGAAGGTAGGTGGGCCCTGGCATCCGAGGACTGCAGTTTACCATCTGGTGGGACCAGGGCCTCTGGTGAGCTGAAGAGCAAACATGGGCACTGCTGTTGCCTTGGACACCATTTCTGTGCCTTGTCCCTTTTGCCTTTTGTGCTCTGGGGGCCAGTGCAGACGGACTGCATTGTACTACCAAATCTAAGCTGTGTGGATATGGTTGACTTTAGAGACTGAGCTAGTGGGTGAGGAGCCAGGAACTCAGCCCTGAGCAGGCTACTCACTGGCTTCCCATTTCCTAGCTTTTGTGTGTGCGCATGTGCGTGTGTCCTCTTCTCACACTTATCAGATAGCTTCTTGCTGAAGAAGCTTTGCAGTCACCCCTTGCTACCTCTGTGCCCTAAATTGTCGCTTACATGGTGTATCAATTAATTACTGCTGAGAAAACAACCACCCCAGAACTCTGTGGCTTTAAACAAGGATTATTTCTATGTTCCACAGCCAATTCTCTGACACCCACTGTGTGTCCTACAATTTAATCCAATTTTGACACTAACTACTCGGAGTTAGCACAGACCCCACAAGTTAAGGGCTCACTCCCACAAGACTGCCCCCCATTCAGATGCCAGCTGCAAGTCTCAGGTTTCTCCAAGTTACTGCGCTTGTGTCTAGCCTACTACAAATTCAGATTCCCATGAGCCCCTCAGGTTAGATAATTTGCTAGAACAACTCACAGAACTCAGGAAAGCATGATACTTACAATTACCAGTTTATTATAAAGGATACAAATGAATAGCCAGATGAAGAGATACATAGGGCCACAAGGTCTGGGGAGGGGTTGTGCAATGCTTCCATGCCCTCTCCGTGCCCGCCACCCTCTCAACACATCACTGTATGCACCAGCCAGGAAGCTCTCTGAGCCTCATGGCTTCAGAGTTTTTATTGAGGTTTCATTAAGTAGGCATGATTGATTAAATCATTGATCACCTGATTGAACTCAATCCCCAGTCTCTCTCCCCTCCCCAGAGGTTGAGGGTGGAGCTGGAAGTTCCATGGTTCACATGGTTGGTTTTTCCCACCCACATGACCAGCCTCTATCTATCTAGTGGCCCTGGCCAGGAGTCATCTTATTAGCATAACAGAGATACTCCTATCACTCAAAGAATTACAAGGGTTTTTGAAGCTCTGTGCCAAGAACCAGAGTCAAAGGCCAAATATATTTTTTATTATACCACAATTTCTTTCTTGCTCATGCACTGCAATGACTCCCTCTCAAGCTGTGGGTTGGGACCAAGTCTGTGTAATGTGTCTACTCTGGGACCCGGCTGAAGGCACATCTGCTACTCATGGCTGTGACAAAAGCACAGAGAGCCAGAGGAAGCCAGTGATATCTAGTAAGGCCTAGGCTCAGCCCTGACACTCAGTTACGACTCCCTCCTCACGTGTGATTGGCCAAAGCAAGGCGCCCAGTCAGCCCAAAGACGAGCATGGAAAGTATATTCTCCATGTACTGGGAGCTGCAGAGTCACACAACAAAGGGCTGTATACAGGGAGCATTGAACAAATTCAGTCTTCGCCCTTGGTCACAATAATTATGTCCCTTCCACATGCCATGTACAGTCACCCCACTCAAAGACCCCCACATGTCTCATCCAATCACAGTTAACAGTATATTTGATCCAGATTCAGTTCCTTTTAAGCTGGAAACCTATGAACTAACCAAACAAGTTATCTTCCCCCAAAGACCCAACACACAATGCTGGATCATAGACGGGAAAATAACACTAACCCACCCATCTGTGCAGTGCATCTTTGCACCCATCTGTGCAAAGATGGAGGCACAGGAGGTCACTGGGCCACTGCAATTCTGAAATCCCACTGGGTACACGTGACCAGGTCCCCTCTCTGGAGGGCATGTACCTTGATTAGGCCCTGGGTCTATCCCATGTCACCTCAGTTCATGCTCTCCTTGGGTGTCAGCCTTCCTCTTCATCATCCTGTCTAGTCTAAAAAGGCATTGAAGAATATGCCCATCTTGGTGGCTCAGCAATTTTCTCAGCTACTTCCTCTCTGTAGGATGTTGGGAACCTAGAGACCTTTGTGCAAATGGACTCATTAAGTCCAAATGGCTGTGCCCCAAATAGTAAGTGGTACAAATGAGATAAAGCCATCCCTAATGACTCTTGGTATCTCTCCCCTCCTTGTGGCTTCCAGAGGCTTCCTAAAATTGGGATTTACAATCAGAGACTCTGGGTTTGAAATCCAGCTTCACTATTCATGAGCTGTGTGGCATTAACTGATAACTTAACCTCTCTGAGCCTGTTTCCTTATCTGTAAAATGGAGAGAGTTGTAGTATGTAGCTCTTAGATTTATTTTGAGGATTAAATGAGGTAAAGCATATCAGGTACCTAAGACAGAGTCTGGCACATGATAGGCACTTAATAAATAGAAGAAGTTGTTAACATCATAAAAGGATTACGTGTAAAGTGCTGTAGAATCTTCAGGGTTACAGTTGTGCTGTTTTATCCTAAGGCAGATCTGAAACAGGCTGGTATTCCATTGAAACTAAGCTCTTACATGGCTAAAAAAAATCCCACATATAGTCCCAGTTACCCACATGGCCTCCAGAGGCCTCTCTGCTAACGTGCTCCCTCTTGTCACCCACCCCCTCCCCAGATCATAAGAAAACAGAAGAGCAAAATCGAGCCACAAGTGGAAGAAGAGCCAGAGTGGTCACAGCCCCAGAGCTGCAGTGCCAAGGTGGCTGACGAGGGGACCACAGCCTCTGCAGGAGGTCACCGAGCTTCCGCCACCCTCTGGGTGAGTCCCCAAGCAGTGCCGGCCACCCGCACACAGGTGTCCTGCATGTACTCCCCATAGAAATGGGGACACCACGCTTCACCATCTGTCATTGACTCATGTGCCCACCAGACAGCATAAAGGTTCCCAAAGGGCGGGGGGAGAAGCTGAGAAAGTATATGTGAGTGGGGACCAGGAGGATTGAGAGAGACTAGTGGAGGATACAGACGGACTAGTGGAGAGTATGGAGGTGGGTTTTACACAGAGACCAATTTAGGAGAAATAAAGATGCTAATAGGCATTTTTTAAATTCATTCTAAAAAAGTTGTACTGAATCCTGTGAAAAAAATAGCTCTATGAGGGCCATGTGTATTCTTACAGCTTAGAGCACTTGCTTTACTGAAACAGAAGTGACAGTGATAGAATTGCCACTGCCCTTTGAGCCACCAAAACAGTCACATCTAGACATGGTTGGGAGGTGGTGATGTGGGTCAACCTTTTTGTCTGTCACTCTGAAATTAAGCCAAGGGTGGAGTCACAAAGCACAGTGTCCTTCCTGTGACCCAAGGGTCTGAGCCTGCCGTGTCTGCAGCAGAGTCACCAAGCCTGTAAAATCCTTGGTTATTTAAGTAGCCCCAGCAGAGGATATGCAGATGCTGGGAGTGGAGGAGATACAGGCTAAGACTGTGGAGCTGGGCCTTCTGTGCGAGCTTCAGCGTGGCAGGGTGGGCTGGCCGGCAGGGCTTGTGTTCTGTCAGCTGTCAGTGCCCACAGAATAGCATGGGGCACCAGACAGGGCAACACACAGGTGCGATTGAAAACTGGAAAGTCAGACATGGGAAGAGCAACGCCAGGTGTTTATCCCACTCCTCCTAGGGATCAGTGGCCTTCCGTGAACAGACTGAGAGGTGTGCAGAGCAGCCACGTGGTAGACACGCAGTTCCAGAAGTGATGATCAGTGGCCTCACCTGCATAATCTCTCCCTGTGTCCTCACAGCTGCCAGATGCACGGGGGCAGCAAGGAGTGGCTTTATCAGAGATTTAGCTTCATTGACTTATTGGCAGAACCTTCCCTTGTCAACATGCTGTCATCTCGTTTTACTGTTGTTGTCGTGGCTCGGCACCAAGGAGAACAGAATAAAGAGAAGCCTCAGTCCCTGCCCTCCAGGACTTTGTAGTCTGGTTAGCAGAGCAGGAGGGGATACGAGGCAGTTCACAGTGGAGTGCTCAGTTGAAAGGTTGAGACTGGTGGTAGAACTGGAATCCAGAGGAGGGAGGGCCCCCCGCAGCAGTGAGGGGGCGAGTGACCTTCACGTAGGCTGCCAGTCCGACATTTCACTCACTCAGCCCCGCAGTCCCGGGTTGCAGGCTGCACGCGTGCACGGCGTCGCCCTGCATTTGGGGAGTCTTTCTGAAGTATTTCCTGCAAACTACAAGAGTCAAGTTTGGGGGCTCTAGGAGGTCGAAATCCCCGCTGCGCCCCAGACTCAGCCAAGAGCCGAGGGATCAGAGGCAAGTTCAGGGAGCCTGGGCTCTGCCTCTGGCACTTCTAGGGGTGGGATTCTGGATTTATCCTTGAGCAACTGTTTAGTTCCTGCCTGTAAAATAGCCATGATGAGGCCTGCCCCAAAGGATGGCTCTGAGGGTTCCTCATGCAGTTAACACAGTCCTTATTGAGCTCCTACTGCATGCAAGGTGCGGCACTAGGGGCTGCAGAGACAAGCTTCCTGCAGATGCGGTGGACTCCACCATAATCTAGTGATGGGACACGCCATAAACAAGTAACTGCACAGAAACACAAGTACAAATCCAGTCACTGTTGTCAAGAGGAACCGAGAGGATGGAGGGAAAGAGCGCTGAGACAGGTGAGAGCTTGGTCAGCGGGGCAGAAAGGGAAAGCCTTCCCTAGGAGGTGACATGAAACAAAGGCTTGAAAAAGGAGTGACTTGGGAGCCGTAGGAGGAAGAGCATTCCCGCAGAGGGAACGGCATGCACGGAGGCTCTGAGCAGGAAGGAACTTAGCGTGCTCCAGGAATAGAATACGTCATATGTCTGGAGAACGGTGACTGAGGGGCACAGTGGCAGGTGACTACATGAGAAGTGGATATTGGCCACTTGGCACGTAAGTGTCATCCCCTAAATGATCATTATTGTTCTTATTATTATCACATTATTTCTGCATTTCAGAATCAAGGTCACTGTTTCATCAAGGTGTTCCCCTGTGCGTTGTGAGCTGAACCTCACCGTGTTTGGTCAGCTAGGCTCCAGGCCCAGAGAGCAGCAGCTGCTGCTGTATCACTGAGCCACCTACTCCGATTCCCAGGCCACCCTGTCCCCCACCGGCCGGCCTGTATTTCGGGTCCTCACAGGTGCCCCCTTTCCTTCCCCTCCACACACAGCCAAATGGCCTCACCTTGCTTCTCTACCACTGTCTCAACTCACCCACGGGACGTCTCTGGCCCCTCGCTGCATCTTCGGGCTGCCCTGCTCTTCCTCCATCGGAGGCCAGAAGCTCCTTCCCTGACTGTCCCACCTCCCCCAATGCTGAAGAGAGCTCACTCCCCAGAAACACACTCTCCCGAGTTTCCTGTCACATCGGCTGGCTGCAGCTCTACACAGTGACTGAAGTGCTTATGCAAACCCCACAAACAGAGAGGCTGGGAGTCATTGTGGAAAACTTAAGTAACCATAGCAATAACAGAGGGACTGGCGAACATCTGTAGGAATACACATGACCACTACCTTTCCTTTGTATGAACATTATGTGCACAGGGTGTTCATACACTGTGATTTCCTTAGATCCTGTGAGAGCACTCCACATTATCCCATTTTACAGAGGAGTAAACTGAGGCCCGGCTAGCCTGAGCCACTGGAACACTAAGTGGTGGGCCAGGACTAGAACCCACGTCTCCTGGCTCTGAGCATTTCCTACACTCTGCTGTCTCCTGTTTCGCTGGGAAACCCTGGATGTGAAACGCCTGCTTTCCCACCAGATGTTCATCAGGGCTCCTTGTCATGCCTACGGCTAACGCTGGAATGGTATTTCTGCCACCTCACAGAGACCAGAGACGCTGTCCGTCATTAGAGATGTGGGACAGTGGGCTCCGGCACCACGAGTCAGAATGACACAGCAGCCATTAGGGCAGCAGTGTCCCCTTTCCACAGCAGGATGGCCAAGGTGCTTTATCCACACTCCTCAGCCGAGCACTGGCCGAGAGCAGCTTAAAATAAATGGCAGTGACGCTTCCCAAGGGGACCTCGCACTCAGCCCTCAGCTCACGGGAAAGAATCCAGTCCTCCTGGGACCCAGGAACAGCTGGTGGCTCTTGTCATGAAGGAGACAGTTAGAGGCACAAGGCAGAGTCGCACAGGATTCCCATTTGGTTTGCTAAAACGAATACCTCTCAGGGTTTTATGTTCTCGTCAGAAAATCTGTCTTGCCAAACACTGCCTCCTGCACAGCAGAATCGTCGCTGTCGCTTCGACACCAATGTAGACAGAGCTGACGCATTTCCTACTTTTTTTCCTGGGGCAAATAGCAGAATATGGTTTGTTTCTAGACTTTGACATAGAATAAGGCCTAATGGAAGTCCATCTCCGATTCTAAAGCCTCTTTTGAATCTCTGGTATACAGTCCTTTTGCAAGCTATGTCCACCTTCCCGGGGCATGAGTCCACCTTTGTGGGAGGGGGTGGGAGAGAACCTTGAGGGTGTAGGTTGGAAAAACCTCCATAAAGGACATTGATACACCCCCTTGGGTAAGCTCTCCTCCCGGCAAAACACTTTAACCACCCAGATCATATGGCCTGGCAAGGGATGTGACACCTTACAAAAGGGACAAGACCGTTGGCTAGCTCCTATTACTACAACCTTCATCCTTAACTTGGACATTTGTTCAAGAAGGTCCCTTTCTGTCCTCTCCCTGTGAGTTCTCCCCATGCCATGATTTGCAGTATGTAAACAGCATATTTTTGTCAACAATATCAATCAGGAAGACATGAATGCTTTGTCTTTCTCCCTCCACACTTGTACGCATGGGAGCTGCCCCAAACAAAGCAGACTGAATCTGGGAATAAGGAGAAATCCAGCATCCAGCTAGGTCTCTGGCACAGTTTGCCCCTTTGTGCAGCCAATATTATTAGCCCCCAGTTGTCAGTGGTCACATGTGTTCTGTCTTTGAGCCAGCTCAGCATTGGGCGTGTGTTGGGCATCCTGCAGTTTCAGGTCCGTGTCTCTTGGTTTGGTTTAAAGACAAGCACTTTGATTAAAGCTTTTAAAAACATTATCTGGAAGGAGAGCTTGTGCCTTACCCAGCCCTCAGCAGTAAGAATCTATTGACTCCCGATTAGTTGGCTGTTTAGAAAGGCTTACACCAAGTTCTAGCTGTTCTGGGGACAAGGAAGCCAGAACACCTCCACCTTCTGAACCCTGTCCTCGGTTGGCTCCAACCATCCATATAAACAGACTTACAGGATGAACGGAGGTGACCTTCAGCCCCCACACTGACCAGGCCAGGAAGAGAAGCCACAGACCCCCGAGAAGGCTTACTGGAAATGATGGGACCCTCCTTGCCCCGACCTCTTTCCCACCACGCTTCATCCCTTCCTCCGTTCGTCCTTGTCCTGTTGCCCTCCTCTCTTGCCTTCAGACTGCCATGTGATGTCACCACGTGAGTCTTGACCTGGGACAGACACTGGCCTGACTTCCCTTGGCCAGGACCCCTGGCCCTTCCCCTCTAACCAGCACCATAGCAGGTCCAGCCTGGGGCCCTCGAGAGGTGGCACATCCAGTTGACAGGGGTCAGCTTCCACACTGCCCACCCATGTGGGCTAAGCCGATGCTTTCTCCCAGCACCTGCCCCTAGTCTCTTGTGATGAAAGAGCCTGTGCTGGGACCACATCCAAGTGTTAGGAACTGAGAGGGTCTGACCCCGGCCAAGGCCACCATCTTGCACAACCCCAGTGCCCCGTTCATCTAGAATACAATGTGAGTGGCGCCCCCTGAGTTGTGCAGCATGATGA